CATTTTCGAAACTTTATGATGTTGTAAGAGTCACTTTAATGAATGCACACATCCAGAATCATACTTAACATAATAACCTCCAGTGTCGGATAATAATTTGGTACGATCGCAGAAGTTTCGCCGACAATACCAGTAAATCTTGCTTCGCCAAAGAAATGTCAAAACAAATCAGTCAAATGAAAGGTCGAGGGAATAAAGGAAGGAAAAGAGGCTAGAAGTTAAATGAAATTGATTGCAGACTTGAAGGCCCAAGTTGGATGAGCAGTTCCGGTACATTGAGAATGGGGAAGCGGAGACCAGTTGGAAGTGCGATTGCGCCTCGGTAAATCTACTCAAAAAGTCGCATCTTTAGAACTGAAATTAAACAATTTAGACTTGATAAAGGAGCGAGATGTGAGGATATGCGATAGGGCAGTAAATATACGACAAATGTTAAGAAGAAAGTTGATCAAGATATGGGCTTCGTTTGTCTCTTTGGGGAATTGGAGTTTAGTTCAAAGACTGGCAACATTAAATGACGATGTCGACTATGATCAAGGCGAAACGTGTGTGAATGTATCAAGTTTAAGATTCGACATGGAAATTATTATATAACTACGGACAGTGTATGCTTGTCAAAGTCGCCCTGATACTATGTCCTAGTTGAGAGAATGAAGCGAAACCACTTCTATAAGAAGAAATGAAAGCCTAACACATAAAAGAATATATAGTCACATAAATATTCCCCGCATAATACATGCTTATCATACTGCCACACAACACCTCACCTAAGCAAAGCTTTAACCAAGATATATTCGAAGAATACTGAGAGATGTCTAGGATCTAATAAAAACCCGATATCTTATTGCAGGCTCACCTGCATCTGGCTCAGCCGAATATATGCGGCATGCATGCGGGCGTGTAGTTCAGCCAGAAGATAATAGTCAGCTCTCGCCTCAAGTTGGCCAAAGAGGCGGGCGTAAATACGAGGTACCAACTCATAGTGACGAGCCAGATCGAGCCATTCAGCTGTGCGTAAGGCTAAAACCAACAAGCCGTCATAACTGAACCAACCAGCCCCACCTCCATCACAAGACAGTACCACGTCATGAGATTGCTCACGACACCTGTATTTGCTTGGCGCGTCTAGGTTCAAAAGAGGGGTCATATCAGAAGAGGAGGCAGGATGTGTTGATGGTGGATTATTGTTGGGGTGGATACCGCTAAAGGACCAAGTAGAAGCGTTTGTGGTAGCTGCAAAGGCACTAGAGAGAACATAGCTCTCTTCGGCGAGGTTAGGCTGACACAATGCCTCTAGAAGGCCCGCACATCCGGTAGCCTGCAGTCCATAGACAGGAGAGGCAATGGAACCTTCGCTGCTGTCTTCTATATCAAGTCGACCAGTGGTCCAGGAGGTCGAAGAGCATGAATGTGGGAAGCTAAATCTGGGTGTGGTCAAGTGCTCGGATATGAGAGCCGCACTGTGTAGCAGACACTGAGCCACTTCGGCTGGATTTCCGAGCTAGATAAACATGGCAAAATGTATCATTACAGGGTAATTGGATCAAAAATGAATATTTAAGTAAAAATAAGGATGCATAATGTTCCATAGAGGGCGTGGACTGCCTCTAAAATATAAAGAGCTTGCTTGAGGCCCGGAACTTTGAGAAGCTGAAAAATAGTATTACAAATGTCACGAATGAATACAGTATGGGGGGCTGACAATAGAAGGAAAATAATTTGGAATGCGGCGCACAAGATAAATGTCTGAACTCTGCGGGCATGAAAATGCCTGCTCTTCCTTGAAATTCACATTTGTTCTGTGACCCAAGGGCACTCGTGACATTGTGGCGGAGTGGTTAAACTGTTGAGCTTGCACGCTGCATTGTCATGGATAAACTACAGCTTGGGGTGTTGATTAGACCTATGCGAAGTAGAAACTGGACGAGAAAACTTTTGGGAAAGTAAGGCTATGTGAAATTCAATTTAGCTCTACTCATATTATTGTGGGAAAATTAAACTACCTCAAATGAAATATGGTGAACCAACTCATATATGATTTACTGATAGTCTGACGAAAACCTACTCAATAAAGAAAAAAATCAATTTCAACAATTGCTATAGCAAATATAAGTCTGCTTCATCGACATTCCAAGCACAGAATGTGTGTGACCATCCTTGAAATTCACATCTGCCCTGTGGCCCAAGGGCCACTACATATGCAAAAGATACACGTATCATTTTGCGTGTAGGGTATAGGATTCGACTGGCATAAATGAATAAGAGTAAAACTTAAAAGATAAATTTTGTGGTTAAATTTTATGTAAGGTTCATGTGTAAAAGGGCTGGTGAGCAGAACAAAGTGATTCACTTTAGATGAGCTACAAGAGAGTGATTACACAAACGGGCTACATGACAAAAGTACTAGGATCTACATTAGAGGCATTATAAATGACCAAGGAATTCACTTCAGCATGTTTATCTGCGATTTTCAAAAGCCAGCGCAGTCGAAGCTCGGGTGAAGTGCGATAGCCATGCGCAATACGATGCATAAGATCAAGAAGAGCGTGCGTATCTTCCCCACTCGCTGCCTGTAGAGCTTGTTGCTGTGCTTGCAACAACTGGTGTAGTGGTTGGCCGCCTCCAGCCCAATTACTCGCATTTATTCCGCTAGACTTGGGTCCTGTTGAGCGAATGACAGATGAGCTCCCAATCCCATAACCTGAACCAGCTACCCATGGGCCAGAGTTCGATTGGTTGCCAAATCCAATCGAGGAACCGATGGGCGCGACTAAGGTAGGAATAGAAGTATGGCCAGAAGAGGTGAACATATTCAATTCAACATGATTTATCGATGCTGCTGGAAAGGAAAGGGAGTTGAGAGCAGATGATGGTGGGGCGGCAGTAAGAGCGCTGCTTGAAGTGTGAATTAAGCAACATGAACTTTCACTGTGCCCCAAAGAACCGAGAGCCACAGAGCCACTAGAATCGGGGGCACAACTAGGATTCAAGTGGATGTTGCAGGCGTGAGTAGCACGTCCAATTGGTGACAAGTCGAAGGCCTGACCGCCTGCTCCGACCTGTGAAGCACGCCGAAGCATTACCTCATTAAGTTCATATGTGTCGCGAAGGATATCAAAAAGGCAGCAGCAGAATTGCATTACCTGAATAAAAACCAAGTCAAATGTGAGACCATCTAAGTGGAATATAATGCAAAAAATTCATCGATAGACAAAAATGGAAATAAAACATTGAATACGAAGATATAAGAAGTCGGTATAGACACAGTCTTCCTTCGATGTATAGAAGTGTAGTGACTTCGTTTTCGCAACTTGTTCGATGTCCTTTGCCATAGTAGTTATTAAAATTCCCAGGGTCAGACCGTGGACTTGGTACATTCTCAGACGTTTAGTCGGCATGATAGTCGGCATCATCAATGAGTCTTGCCATTCTCAGCACCAAGCTACAACTAATAGCTGGACGATTACTTCGCACTTTGGTCACATATAAGAGAATAACGGTAGGTTTTTTTAAGGGCTATATAACAAGATTTTCAGACCTTGCTTTAGCAACTTGGTCAAATTGGCAAGAAGATCAAGAGGAACACGC